TCCTACCCCGCGCGACACGATATCGAGAACCCCTCTCCACGTTTGAAATCGCATTCGCGCGACGAGCTGGCTCCAGATATTGACGAACCGAAGTCATTTAGCTCTGGATCCATCACGAGAGCAGGTTCCGGCTCGAGCACACCCATGCCCAAAGCTATTGATATATCTCCTGGGGGCCGCACGATGGAGATGCACGCGTACCCACCGAGCCTCGCAAGCACCAGCAGCACCACGGAGTCGTCTTTACGTTCGCCACCCTCCTTACGTGCAAAGAGCCTATCTCCTGCACCGAAGCGTTCACTGGGATCACCCCCACCTATTCTTGCCGCGCGACCACTATTTCCTACAAAGAGTACCTCCCCGCCATCGTCGGGGCTCAAGTCCAGCAGCGTGTCACGACCATTGGTAGCCCCTGTGTTAGAAGAGAAGGATTGGGCAGCATGGGACGATGAGAGCGTGGATGAGTGGGAGGAGGCTGGGGCCATTAATGGGGAAGTCGTGAGCAAAATCGATGCGCGAACAGAAGACGGCATTTGGACTGGTCATGCACAGCCGATTGATTCCGTCTCATGACAGATTTTGGACCATTCAGCACCACCAGCTCATGTATGACTTGCTTTGTGTAGATTACCGCATAATGATGTTCGTAACAAAATGGATCGTCCACGCTCGGTGATTCACGGTGCATGATTGAGCTACAAATACATTGGCGAATCGCAGCTATCCGAGGGTGGCGACATACGAACATTTGCATAAACCCCAAAGAGCACTGTTCGACAGCTTAGAACTAATGAGACTATAGGACCTGAATACCATATCTCACAGAAGGAGTACCCTTCTGGAATAATATAAGCACGAGCATGATTCTTATACCGTAGGACTACACAATATAGCCGAAAAAACAACGAGCGATACAGCATGTCAAGGGATAGGACGGGATGAACAAGGACATACACATCGTTAACGCCTAGGGTGGACTGGAGAAGGTCCATTCGGCGAGCGGTGAGGATCCACCAGCGCGATCGAGTCCCAGCCGTCTCGATCGGGGCGGACCTCCGTGTACACAAGTTTACGAACGCCCTGGGGTGGAGGGAGGGGATGAGACTCGTCGGACATTCTGATCGACGACCCCGACGCCATCGGCGCGAGAGGACGACCCGGGTATAAGGGTGGCGGTGCGCGAGGCGGAGAACGGGCATCAGGAGGGACAGGCGAGAGCATCATTGCAAGCGACGGTGAAAGCCCTTGACTATTGCGAGGCACTGGCTGTGGCGTATGAGACGCCTGTCTACGCTTTGGCGATCGTGGAACGGGCGAGAATCCCGTCGCAAGGCGTTCGTCGGGGGGCTGCGCTGCATCTTCAGGATACTTACGCTTCCGAGACGACTGCGGAGGCGTTGTGAGCGGAGAGTGCATTGGTTCGGGATGAGACCTTGCCCAGGGTGGCGGCGCAGTGGCACCAGCGTTGCTCCAAATCTGATTTGACCACGGTGGAGGAGGAGGAACATGGTGCCCTGATGATGCGGATGGACGTCCGTTCTCATACGGAAGCGGAGAAGGCGGGAGCGCTCTTTGCGAGGGAGGATGTGGTGGAGGTGCATGGCCTGGATGGGAAGGGCGAGTGTGCGACGGACCAGGATGAGGCATTAATCCTGACATATTTGGTGGAGGAAGAGCATGGGGCGGGAGCGGAGAAAGCCTTCGCGATCCGAGATTTTCTGGCACGCCAGGGACGAAGCGGATCAGTTCGACGAAGAGTGTTTGCGTATAGGGAGGGGGCAATTGCATATAGACTAAATCCCTACTGAAGGTTTCTAGCATCTCCTTCGTATCGACGTACATATCAGGATCAGGATGATCTATGACAAAGCTTGTGAGGGGAAATAAAAAGCGCAGAGGTGAATGCTCACCGATATGCTTGACGCGGACCTCAGAGTAGGGGTACGGTCTGTTCTTGCGGATGCAGCACAACGGACACATGAAGCGACTGCGAACTGAAGATGTGGGGTCGATTGGATAGAAGACGCATCCGGCATGGTACAGCTTGCCGCACATCTCACATTCCACAGTGGGATAGTTGAGCAGATAATTTGTGCGGCCCCTACAGATGCACCGTGTGCCATCGAGCCAGTCCTTGTCTACGTCCTGCCCAAATGTGAACTTGGGACGCCGTCTCTTCTTGATCCTAACAGGTGCGGGCTGCCCGGCGAGGATACGATGCAAGCCAGCGAGATCCAGGCCAAAGGACACTTCTGGATTCGGAGACACGGCAAACTGTATTCTGTAAAGCTTGCGCATATAGTGGCGGACCTGGGGGATGTACTCCTGACGCTGGTTCGCGGGTTGCGAGGCAAATGACAGGAATTGTCCAATGACAGCGGACAGCCGATCGACTCGGTGCACGATGATCTCGAGCTGTTTCCAGTCCTCCGAATAGAACTTCGTCACGTCGGGTGCGTGGAGGAGAATAGTCGGCAGGTAGCAGAAGTGCCAGCTCCGCTCCTTGTGGATAGTGCCGTTCCAGTGATGGTGGTCGCAGAACGGACAGGAGCCACCGTTAGCCGCACACACACCATGGAAGCGAGCAAAGCAATGGTCGCACTGCACAGCGTCGGATACCGTCCCTGCGGCGGGGGGACGAACGGGTGTAGTGCAGATGCAAGTGAAGTACTCATCGCCCGGAGGTAAATCATCTTCTGGTCGAGTGGACTCAACAACATCCTCAAGAATGGCCTGTCCATGAGCCGCCTGATGTTGCCTACAGTACCAAGGTAAACCCTCTAGCCAGCGTCCATGAGTTGTAAGCTGTTTATCCAGCCGCTCAAAATTGGGCAATGTGAACATTGTCAAATGCTCCTTCGCGTATTTGCGCCACTGTTGCATGGTCTGGAAGATGTCGCCCTCATCGGTGTGCTGGTAGCGCTGCTTGAGCACGGCATCACATCGCGTCTCAAGGTCGAGCGCAAAATCGACCGTCCGCTTCAAGTCTAGAATCGCCGGAATGTTGAAGTCCTTCTCTGCACGCGACACTAGTTTCGAAGCCTCCTGGACCTTAGGCTTCACTGCGCCAATTTCAGGCATCAGCCACGCCTTCGCCTGCTTCTCATAATCCTTGGCTCTGACACGAGTAGTCACCAAGCGGTCCAGCAGCTCCGGATCCGTTGGCACACCAGGTTCTCGCTTCACCGCTTCGTCAAGCTCCTCCAATGTGCGTTGCGACTTATTCACGACGTTCTTCACCCTATCTTCCCACTCCTCGCCTGAGTGGAGCAGCCTATTCAGAGTCATCATAAAGTTGTTGTCGTGTGGAAGGTCACAATGTTGGGCGCGCGCGATGTACTGCCTGACATCTTCCAGCCTGATTATGTCGTCCTCCAGGTCGTCCGCCATGTCGTTCTCCAGTTCATGCAACAACTGTTCACGTAGCACAATCTTCTCGACTTCAAGGAGCTCGTCCACCAGCACGTTCAGCGATGAACCGTGCAGGAGCAGCCGATCGCACTCCTGGACATATGCATCACGATCACGAGCCTTGGGTGGTGAGTGCAGCAGCATGCGAGCTTTGTCCCGAGTCTCCTCCGCCTCCTTCGCCAGGCTCTTCAAGAACCCAATTTCCGAGCAGTCGAAGCCAAGGTTCTCGACTTCGCGCAAGACCGAGTATAACTCATCCAGGCTTCGGTCAGGCTTGTCGTTGACCTCCTCCGTAACACTGTTCGCCAAGCTGTCACTAGACGGACGTCCGCGCACTTTTCGAGCGCGCTTGCGGCTAGGTTTGCGAACGAGGAACGTATTCGCTGCCTCGACCCATTCGTTCGCGCGATTGACGCACTTCCGCAGCGACTGCAATTCAGGTAGGGGGTAATTGATCCGCTCGCCCTCCGCCAGAACTGCACGCAAGCCACGGAGTGGTGGCCGCGCGCTCTCCCCGAGGAGCTTGTTGAGTTTGCTCCGCCACGCTGACGGGACCGCCGCGCGCTCTGATACTTTCATCTGAATCTCCTGCAGCTCCGCGTCGTCGAACCGCTTCCGCAGAACCCTACTCGCCTTCGCACATTTGCACAGTTCGTCGATGTGGTCAATGCAGACCACCTTCGTCGTGCACTGGCACGTGATCTGCGAGAGGTAGCAGAACACCTTGCAGAACGTGCATTGGTACTGGTCCTCGGGCCGGTCCATCTCTTCTAATGTTTCGCTCATCTGCAACGATCGGGCTTTGTCTCGGAGGCGCATTTCGCGCACCATCATCTCTTGCAGGTTGTCATTTAGCCTGACAAATAATTATGAAATCGGATTCGTAGTACAATAGGTGTGCTCACTCACCATAGCGCCGTCTGAATGGATTGGTTCTGTTGTGTGATGGTGATGAGCAACTCATCGTGTGAAAACACCGGCATTTTCCTATGTTCTTGGTATCGCCGCACACAATCCAGACCGAACGGCAGCCAATCAGGGAGTGCGAAATTTACGGCTTCGTTGAAATTCAGCTGTCAGAACAGATGCGTCAGTGTAGAATTCTGAAACATGGTGTCTATCCCCTTCAAAGAGAAAACTTGTAGGACATACCCCGTGGTTGAAGCCCGCATGATAGGCTTTGGGGAATGTGATGACAAACTCGCCTGCCCGCTGATTGCAAGAATAGACGTCTACACCAGCTTCTTTAAGCCTCTTGGGGTTCATCAACGTGACAAGTTGGAATAGAAGATCAGGCTGCACTTCAAAAAGGTCCGGTGCTTCTCTCCTGATTGCCGCTTCGAATTTCTCAGCATTCGCCCCAGGAATACTATACCACGTCTTGGTCTCGCCCCAGTGCACTGAAAGGTACGTGCCTGATGGTTAGAGAACAAGACTCCCCAGATGCACCTAGAGACACGCACTGTAATTGATGCTGTATGTGTAATGATCCTGCGGCGCCACGTCAAACACTCAATTACTGCGATCATGGAAGCTCTTCCGTACCTCGTTGTGCCAGCAAAATGTCGAGAACACCATACCGACATACGTCCAAGGGACCGTCATACCTGAAATATCAGATTTTATATACCGGAGTAGGGAATCAGACAGTATCGGAATATTATTGAGGTTCCATGAGTCCTTCGAGTACGGGTCCAGTGGATGCGTCTCCAATGTGGGCATACCGCTAAGGAGTAATCTAGTCAGTGTTCGACACCCCCGACAACAATCCCGCGGTAAACCAACCTCCCATGAGTCGTGGAATGCACATCAGCGCCATATTCGACTTCCACCGTTTCCTGTTGCGATTGGACAAGCCGCCAGAACTCATTCTCGACGTCGGTCTCGGTTACAACGATACCATCGAACACATTCACGGTGGGATCGTTTGGATCGACTTTCACGGACATCTTGACATCTCCATCTTTATCTTTTCCGCCCTCAGAAGAAGACGCTGAAGGATGCGACTTGAACCATAAACGCCGGAACTCGAGGTCCCTGGCTTGGAAGCTAGACAGACTGTGTTCCTCGCCTTCGTCAAAACCAAAGTCTCCACCCGTGCCGAACAGGCATGTGTGACAGAACCATTGGCCTTTGGGTATAGCAGCAAGCGGCGGGTCAAGACAAAACATATGAAAGCCTGCAGCCATACAATCGCAGCGTGCTCTCAGAACGCACTCGAAAATAAATAGAACGAAATGACCAACCACAGTCACACCCATCGCATAACAACATTTCCTCTCCACGATCCTTCTTCAAACATATTTCGCAATGAGGCTAAGTGACAGAGCGGGTTGAATTGCAAGACAAGCGATACCGGAGCATAGGAGCTCACCTCAACACTGGGATCCTTCGTCTCGTTCTTATGACCAGGCGCGCCTGGAACACCTTCGTTAATAGACGCTTTGCGCGCAACTAATAGGATGTTCGTCAGTAGTTAATTAAATGAACAATAAATATTTCATGCAAAACTCACGCGCAGACTGCTCATGTGAGCTTTGCCTTGGATTCCTTCGGGTCTTAGAGGAGCCAGATCGGCCACCAGCTGCATCCTTAGCCTCCGACTCATCAGGAGGTTCAGACAGCGGGCTAGAAGTCGCAGTCAGTGGACTTGATGGGGGGCTGTCGTCATCTGCCTTCGCCGACGAATCGCTTCTAGACTTGCTCGCCGACTGGATATTGACGTGAGTCCTTAGCTGGGGATCACGCGGTTTGTTAGGAGACATATTCGGTGAGTTACGGACACGTTCGCGGTAGTGCTCATATGGAAGGATGACACGCGTATACGAGTTCTTCATCTGCGTCGATAGGCCAGGAATACCGCCATATCCCAGCATTCGTCCAAGATCTGCCCATTTCTTTCCCCGAGTGACCTGATAAATGCCCATTGACCGCTATGAGAACAAATGTGGCGAAATTTGAACGAGAAAATCTTACAGATTCGTAACCTCCAAGTTTCTGCACTTCCTTGCGTAGGAGCCACAGATCAAGAGGCTTGTGATTGATAGTGGGAACAACGACCCGTGGATTCCCCTGCTGCTTGTGGAATCGGTACAATTGCTCGAGAAAATTCACTTTAGCACGAGAGGAGGCCTCTATGGAGTTGAGACGCTGCAGGCGCGTTTTAAAGCGGAATCTCTGGCAAGAAAAACAGTGGTAAGGAGCCACGGCTGGCAGGAGAAACAGAACCGACCTCTGTATCAGTGACGAACGGCATCTCCCAGCCCTGTGGTGGCACGATCTTGCACATGCCGTATTCGCGTGCCTGGTCCGATATCGAGCGAATGTATGCGAGCGGATCCTTGAACTGCTCTGGGGTGGGGTGGAAGGTGGGGCAGTCGGTAAGGCCGAATGGCCGCTCAGACGGCCTGGGCAAAATCATGCGAGGGTTGGGGGTCTTGACAGAGGACATGTCAAGAGCGGGGGCGACAGCGAGAGCAGGCCCATCACGAAGCTGGATGTGGATTGCGCCGTCCTCGTTGATAACATCTGTGAGCTCGTCCTGGCCGAGGGCGGATTGTGCGTGGTTGTGGAGCGCGGCAATAGCGTCCGTCTTTGACTTTCTGGGCGCCCTCTTGGGCTCTGGGCCTGTTGCGGGCGCAGAGACTTCGGGGTGGACGACGAGAGTTGCTGCGTCGGGGCGGTCGATCGGGATGGCGCCCTCGACGGCGATGGAGAGGCAGGAGGTGAAAGTGGTGGCAGGCTTTGCAGAAAAATCAGGCGGAACGGAGGCGGAGGAGGGGGTAGAGGGCGCAGCACGGGGCGAGCGGCCTCGACGGGCGGGGGAGCCGCGAGGAGGAGGGCTCGGGTGCATGGTGGTCGTGGTAACAGAATCCGAAGAAAGGACGTTAGAGGCCGAGCAGCGGTGCTTCAATATAGCCACCATCTCGAGCCCTTCGCCGTGGGAGTCACAATCGTCGCGGACTTCAAATTGGCGCGCCGATCGTGCCGCTCTCATGCTCGCGGTGGTCCCTCTCCCACCATTTGCCTCCGACAGCGCCCCCGCCCCGCCCACGACCGCGCACATCCCC